GGGGGGGGGGGGCTTGGGGAGCAAGTATGGCTGCGCAGGGTTAGAGGATGAAACCGTCCAACAAGAGTCCAGGGGGGGCACCGGGAACGAAACAGCCCAAAATGCATACCCAGTTTGAACAGTGGTCCCGAAAAAACGTATCTATAGACTTTACAAATATATGTATGCGTAAATTACAATGTACATGTATCTTTTCAAAAGTTTTTCTCTATAGTGTTTTTTTAAACCCTCTCAACCCACATATACATATTGTCTTTTTTTGCCACTGAAAATGATGAGTTGCATGTCTCACTTTGGGACTCTTCATAGAAAAAAAATGATTAGGTTTTTAGTTGTTCTGCTCAGGCAGTAACCTTTACCTGAATCTGTACAAATGTATTATTCTATATCTCTTTTTTCTGCTTCCTCCAGTCAGAGGTTTCTGTTAATGCCCAAGAACAAACATCTTCAACACGACTATAGCTACAAGTACTACTGTTAACACTGATTAGAATGGAAATAAGACTAACAGAGGCCCATAGAAAACTCAGACTTATAATAACAATGACGTTGGTCAGTTTTCTCAGTCACTCACATTATTGTTGCATTTCTTTCAGTATCAATATTGGAAGACAATTTACAGTATTCAAATCTGAATTCATGTTATAAATGAAAATTATATAATATGGGGTAAAAAAATTACAGGCCCTCATTCTCCCACATATTGTGCACACTCATGCTTGACACTTTGACACAGTTACACACAGCTCACTGGCAGTCCAGCGGCTCTGCATGGAAGAAATTCACAGTAAAAGTCGTCAGATCGAAATCAGAGAGAAAGTAACATGAAAATTCAAATTTTCATTCCAAACTATAGTGTTTGCAAATACGGCTAGCCTGTAATAACGCTAAGAATAATCACAACAACAATTTTACATTAATGATGATCTGGTTAATTAGCAGTAATATTGCACAAAAAGTATGTGAAACATTTTCATTATAGCCCAAGGTTAATTGCGTTTGATCATTAACAAAATAAATCATTTCTAGCATGTTAAAATATCAAAATAGTTTTATTGTGAAAGTTCATTGTTGTTGTTATTATCACTCTGTTATTACTCATCTTGTTTTTGTTCTCAGTGAGGTTGAGCAGACTAAGTAACAGTGAACATGGAGGGAGAGATTTCACTACCTGTCTGTCTATATATTTCCTGTTGAGCCCCACCGACTGCTCCTCTCTACCTGGCCTCTTTCATTTCTACCCACTCTCCTTCTCTCCCTTCCTCCTCGCCTCCCCCTCTCAAACCCTCGCTCTACACAGGCGTTGTCTTCCTATTGAGGGTGTTAGAGTTGCTCTCCCTGTCCCCCTTCAGCCTGTCCAGCGTCCCCATGCCTCGCTCCCTGTCTCCTGTGGACGAGGTGAATGGTGGAGGGCCGGAGCCCACTGAGTTGGGCATTGCCGCGTTGGAGTTGGAAGAATTGGAAGGGTTGTGGGACTTAAGAGAAGGGAGTGTACCACTCAACATCACCCCCCCTCCCCCTCCATCCTTTGGGAAGCAGTTGTGGAGCTGGTAGAGCGTGGCCCTGTCCACCGTTCCATACATGGGCGGCAGACCCCCCAGTTTGGGGTCGCGGGACAAGGTGTAGAGAGAGATGTCACCTCCAGCCAGGGCCGTGTGAGAGCGAGAGTGGGGGTTTGGTAAAGTGGACACTGAGATGGGGCCCTGGGAAAGCAGCGCAGAGGGAGGCAGGCCGAAGTTTTTGCCCCCCCCTACAGGTGAGGGGTCTCGAGAGCGGGAGGGGTCGGTGGAGCGGGAGGAAGAGCGGGAGCGGCGGCGGAAGCGGTAGCTGGGCAGGCGGAGCATGGCGTGCGTGGTACTCTTGAAAATGTCGGTGCGCGAGCGGCATCGCAGCTCCTTGTTCTTCTCGATGTAGATGTTGACAGCCAGCACCCCCACCATCTCTGCCATGATGAAGGACAGGCCTCCAAAGTAAAAGGACCAACCGTAGGAGTACTGCCACTTCTTATCCTCGTCCTTCTTAGGAGAGATGTCCCCGAGGGCAGCTGAGATGTACACTATCACACCAATTATGTTACTCAGCCCTGAGGGAGTACAGAAATACGGTATTTATGAAAGAGCTAAATAAAGTCAGACAGACCAACTTACAGTACTAATAAACACATTTGTCTGACGTGATGATTTGTGACATCCCCAATAAAAGACAACTGGCAAGATGAATGTTGAATGTTAAACTCTCTATTAAACTGACAGAATAGTCTAAACACAGCCACACTCCTAAACAAAGAGCAAAGACTGTTAGGGCAAGTTGTATTCTCCAGACCACCACTTACACACACAGCCACACACATATAAACCCTTGTCTGTACACACAGTATTTCTGAGTTACCTGCAGCCACAAAGAGAATTCCAGCCCCCAGAATGATGTTCCTCTTGCTCTTATAGAACCGACTAGCAGCGATGCAGACCCCTCCCATCAGCAGCAGGATGGCACTGAGGATCGGGAAGATGTTGGAAGCCCTGACTACCCCTGAACAGAGGAGAGGATAATGGGGAACAGCAGGAAGTTGAAATGAGAAGGAGTGGAAATATTCTGTAAAGTAAATGGGACTACATTCTGGATTTTCTTAGTTTTATTATATAATATAATACTATAATGCCTGCAGCGCTCACTTGGAGTAAATGTGAGCGCACACTTTGACCTATTCTTTCGCCCAATAGTTACTTAAAGGTGGGGTAGGTAATTCACTTCAGAAACACTTTTTGTTATATTCCATGGAATGCTCTTAACATCCAGATAGCAATGAATACATTAAATGCTTTGACAATAAATGCATACAAACATGTCATCTGTGGAAGCCGTGGTGCTGTAAAAAGCACGACCAATTGTTTTAGCCGATTTTTTTGGGCTGCATACTTTCAAATTCTAGCGCACTCGAGCTGGTTTCTCCATTCTTACCTACTCTACCTTTAAGTAAATCTTGTACCCATTTTTCAAAGCAGTCACATATTTTCCACATAGGGCCTCATGCAGTTACATAACATGAAGGTGAGGCATTATCAGTACTTACACAATAAGAGACAAGAGTTGATACAAACAAAAATCGGAGGAAATGTGTTCTTATATTGCTTCTAGCACAAAGCCTGTTCTGACACTAAAAGGGCATTTTTCATTATTATATTAGGAGTAAATTAAACTTTTTTAAGCCTGTGTCTGTAAGATCAGGCCACACCGAGAGTTTAACGTTTGCTAAACTCACAATGTTAACAAGCTAACAAACAACCTATTCTCTTAAAGCTCAATATGTCTTTAAGTTGTCTAAATATCTAATCTAGGAAGGCTAAACAATGCTGCATACAATACTCCAATTTTCTTTTGTTGTAGAGCATTTTGATTGAAGTATGTACAGTAACAGAGCCTGCTCTATCAGTAACCGTCTTTGGCACCAAATAGAAAAAAAGTGTTAAATAATACACCATACACTTGATTAATACAAAGAGGATGCAGAAACATTGTAACAAAAAGTGACAATGGGAAAAGCTGCTCCATTAAACAATACACATAATACATTGTGAGGAAATTAATTACTCAGTTTTAGACATACAATCGAATCAAAGCCCTCCCCATGTGGCCTTCAGTGCTTTCAGCAGGTCTGCCAACCATGCAACACACACACACAGACATGCACACACACATGCGCACACACACACACACACACACACACACACACACACACACACACACACACAGCTGCGGGCACACACACACACACACACACACACACACACACACACATGCACACACACATGCGCACACACACACACACACACACACACACACACACACACACACACACACACACACACACACACACACACACACACACACACACACACACACACACACACACAAACACTCTAGCACTCTGCTCTCATCTAGAACAACTAGGCCATGGGAGAGAAATGCCACCTAAATGCCAGCAAAATGCCTCTGCAACATTGTAAACAGAACGCAAGCCGTTCTTTATGTATGCACAGGCACACATGTAGCATATCATGGAGAAGAAAATATCACTGCAGGGCATTGAGAACGAACTAGGGCACCCCATCTCCCCTGACTTCCTGTGCACAGTGTTACATGTTTATTTCTTGCAGAGATAATCTTCTGCCTCTTATTCATAAGCAGGCTTCTCTCATTCATTCATCATCCATGCAAAGTAATGCTGATATTGACTTACGTAGGACGTACTCTGCCCCGTCATGGTCAAAGTCTGCATCTTCTGGGAAGTGGTTGATTTGAGAACACACTCCTCTCTTTACTCCTGAGATTTGAGAGGAAAAACAGGGGTGACCAGACACAATAAAACATAAACCATAGCTGTGTAACCTTAGGAAAAGAAACACATATCCTTCTGAGGGACAAACTTATAGAGACCTAAACACAGTCATATCTTTGTTAAACTTCCACTTACTGCATGCAAGTTAGTAACATCACACACATAGTAAACACACAAACACACACATAAATAAATGCAGACATAGGCAGACAAATAAGTACCCGTCGGGGTCCTGTATGTAGACAGACAGACGAACGGAGGGGTGCACGCACGATGATGACAGCACACCACTGTTGCTGATGGATGGATTGTGAGGAAGATGAATGGAAGTGATGGAATGAAGAGACACAGACGGAGGGAGAGACGGACAGATGTGGGGTGAGCAGGTCTCTTTCTCACAGCTCTTATATTTCCACAGGTTATTCTGTAAAGAAACGGAGGTAAATCAGTTGAGGCACACAGATCAGTGTTATCATCAGGAGCTTTAGGTGCCCTTCATGCATTTATCTTTGAGACATTAGTGTACGTTTGGCAGATTTCCTTCAGTTCCTAAAAACAAGGAATGATCACTGAATCCCTGCACCTGAAACGTGCATCTCTAACAGCTTCTCATTAAAAGACGTACATTTGATGTGGATCTATTAGCTTGGTTATTCTGTGTTATCCTCGCAATAAAAAAAATGGGATTAAATAAGCGGTTTAAGTGTGTTCAGGTTACAGTCTTGCCTGAAAGCATGGGGTTGAGTCCCATTTTAACAACATCCACCTTTATATAATTAAAATAATTTCATTAGTATTAGTATTTATAGGTATTTGTATTAGTATTTCGATAGATATCCTGTTAATAATAAATATAAGGCCTGACACATGGTGTCGGTGAAGGGGTGCCAGATCTCAGCTGACAGAGTTGTGGGGGTTGGTTATAAATTAATAAAGAAATGTTCTATTAAAATGAGAAATGGCCGACAGGTAATTCAGGGCAGCCCAACCTTCAGTGAACATGCAGAAGGGCTGGAGAGGAGGACAGGACACATCTCTATCCACAGCATAATGTGCCACCCACCCACGGGCATAAATCTTTTAGAGCTAGCATGTCCTGCATTTCTACTCCAGCTACACCTCGCTGCATCACTGCACGACTACTGAGCACCTCTCTTGGCTGAATACTCCACAGACATCAAGGATACTTGACCTCTAAGCCATGCCAAGACACTGTCAGCTCTGCTGCACCGCGATGGGGTAGAAAAGACCGCAAGAGAGGAAACTATGAGGGGGGAAAAGAAGGAGAAACCAGTGAAAGACTAAATATAATGTTTGGGGGAGTGAGACAGAGGGATAGCAGGCGGAGAAACTGAAAGAGTGAGGCGACGGAGGGAGTGGGTGGGGGTGCACTGCAGCAGTGCTGCAAGGGCTCGAGCTTATCTCTAATTGGCTGCTTTGCTATCAGGAAGCTTAGAGATGAGGACAAATTAGCTTTGTACAATGACCAAGCCCAGGATGGGCCGCAGATGCTTTATAAGGAGAGCCAAGAGGTTTTCCTGGAGACAGAAGTTTGTATGTGAGCAAAGGCACAGATCACTAAATCACACCACCCCTTTGGCTGTAGCTGCTTCACTGTTAGCTCCATCGCAGCCCTTACTGTGGAGAGCCAGCCAGGCCGTGTAATGTATAATGAATTAGTAGCTTGTTTTGCAGTGTCAAGCTGAGGATTGAGAGATGGCCTATGCCAGTTCCTGTAGCTTCCGCCACTCGGAGTGAGAAGTTGATGGGCGTCGGGTGAACGTGGGCCTTTTGTTTCAGCACTTACATTAAATGACTGTACTGCAGCCTGAATCCAACACAATGATTAATGGATTATTTTGAGTGAGGGTTACGCTTCAGTATCATGTAATTATACTGCAATTATGCTGAATTGTTTTCTTGTCATTATGGTACGGTCTAACAAATACAAATAGATTGTGTATGTGTTGCTGCTAATGATTACTGATATCACAGCAATGCAGCAGCTTTCGGAACGAAGTGTCCGAAGGTCAAGTTAAAGACGAACACTGCAGAACACACTTATACTGATCCTGCTTTGCAACACAAGGAAAACAAGAAATAACAACACATGGATGAACTGATGGAAACAATTAAAAGCTTTGACATCGCCAAGATATTAACACTCCACAGTATCCAGTGCCTCCCACTCAATTTTGACGAGACAAAAAGACAAGAGCTTGTGAATACATCAAAGTCTGAATACAGAAATCTCTACATTATTGTGTGACAATCTGAATTATTCTACAAGTATAATGGGCAATTCACCCGTACCTTACATTGTGAAGTTAAGACTACAAAGAACACTTGAAGGAATAGTTGAGAAATATGGGAATTAACTTTAATGTCCTGAGTTAGAAGAGAACATTTACACCACTTTCTGTAGGTAGGCCTAGAGTAAATATTGAGCTTAATGTAGCAGCTGGTTAGCTTAGCTTACACAAACTGCTAACAGGGTGATGCCAATTTGGACTTTTTTGCGAATTTTCATTTTTACAATTCAGTCTATTTACGGATTTAACAAATAACAAACCACAAATAAGATATAACATGTAGAGCTTTAGATGTGCTGGTACTGTGGGACAGGAAGGTGGTTTCCTCCTGTTTCAAATATACACGCTAAGGTCAGCTGAATTCACTCATATTTATGTCATCAATCTTATCAACTTACTCTGCAACAATAGCAAAAACATGAATATGTATTTCTTCTATCTTCGAAGGACTCTGATTTATTTTCCCTGCTCACCTTCGGGTCCCTACAGTTTAGTCCGACCACATTTGGATTAATTATATACTAACCAGTTTATAAGTAACCAGAGCTGTGCTGCCAGATCCTTTATCAGCTTTCACTGCAGCCTCCTCACTGAACTCAACAGCCTCAAACAAAGCAAACTTATTCCAGCACGCATCCCCTTCAGTCCAAATCACACCCATAGACCTAAAATATCTCCAACAACTTCTTCTTTACCTTCCAGGCAGCATATCCTCCACAGTCCAGAGTGGGTGAGCGCCCCGGGATCCTTCTTGTCCTTGTTATGGGGATCCTCCCCCGTAACATTGGCTGTGCTGTTGCAGATCATGGCACGGGAGTACAGCCAGTAGTCCGTCCCTATTGCCACCGTCATCAGGCCAAAGGCAGCAAATGCCCCCACGGTGGTGAGGAGGATCTGGATCCCCTTCTCACACACCATGCCTTCAAAGAGAAAACAAAGGAGGAGGAATGGAGTAGAGGGAAATAAGTTAGAGGACAAGAAAGAATGGAGTTACAAAGCAGAGGTGAGTTGACAACTTTACACAAAGTTAAGTTTATTGAAAAGACAGCACAACGTTCAGGTGAGATGATGAGGGGCAAGAGGAGGTGAAGGTGGGAGGCAGAGAGGGAGGCGATGAGAAAAAAGGCAAGGGCGAGAGGGGGCGGATGTAGGAGGTGCATAAGTGGCTTTATGATGTGTCCTTGGAGGAGAGTTGGTTGACTCTGCTGACTCCGCTTAACAAGACAGAAATTGATGTGAAACACAACAGATCACACCCTCCCAATCTCAGTACTCCATATTCATGACCCTGACACCATTTCCCCCATCAGAATCAGCAGGGCTGGAGATGAATACACAAACAGACACACACACACACACAGACACACACACACACAAATACACACACACACAAACAGACACACACACACACACACACACACACACACACACACACACACACACACACACACACACACACACACACACACACACACACACACACACACACACACACACAAACACACACACACACACACACACACACACACACACACACACACACACACACACACACACACACACACACACACACACACACACACACACACACACACACACACACACACACACACACACACACACACACACACACACACACACACACACACACAAACAGACACACACACACACACACACACACACACACACACACACAGACACACACACACACACACACACACAAATATACACACGCAGACAGACACACACACACACAAATACACACATTCTAACATGATATCACCTTGGATCTGATTATTAGCATGCTGTATGCTCTCACACAAATTGAATCATGCAGCTCGTGTCATTGACCCATGCGTGTCTTAGTTGGAATAAAGTTGCCTTAGTGGCCTGCTATTGCTACTGAGACACTCTCTTGTATGTTAAGCATTCAAAGTTTCCCTTTCAAAAGGTAATACTGATTCTGACATTGTAAAAGACTAAAGCCAACTTTCAACCGGTCAAGACTTACCTGACGCCGAGTTTCTATCCTTCGACTCCATCTTGAAATCTTTCTTTTCCTCGTCAGTGAAGAACGTGCTGTCCCCTCAATCCGGACAGCATCCATCTACTGTTTTCACCCGCTCCCCTCTCTCCTTCTTGCACTCGTTCTCTCTCTTTTGCCTCTTACTCTTGCTCTCTCTCTCTCGTTCTTTCTTTCTCACTGGAAAGCTGTTGCTGGTGGAGGTTGTGGCTTGGACGGTTGTCCCGTTCTCCGTCCGTTAGCAGAAAACTTGCATCATGGTCACTTTTCTGCTGCTGCACCTAAAATAAAGCAACACAGGGAGGATTTTACATTTCATTAGGTTATTTAGATAAAAGAAAGAAAAACATTATTCATATTAGTACAATAGGAAATGAGGAATCTTTGAGTTCTTAACTTTAAAAAATCAAGCCAGTTTAAGACGTAACACCATTCTTTAAGAACATTTTATTTTTCCACCATTTACTACATTCATCATTTTTTAAACCAAATGATGGTCCAATTCATCAAGAAGATAATCAAATATAATTTGATAGTAAAACAAAATAGATCACACTAAACTAAAATGATGAACATTTGAACATTATACCTCCTCAAAATTGAATTTGTTGAATTTAATTGTTTTAATTCTTAATCAGACTGCATTGTAAGCGTGTTAGCATATTTGAGCATTTACCTCAAATCACCACTGTACCTAACGACAGCTAGCTGAAGATTCATGCTGCAGATTCATTTGCTGTCAAATCAGCTACACATTTTACATTATAGATGCTTTATTTAAACGTTATAGAACCATATTGGGATGACGCTCGTACAGATTAGAGTAGTTATAGGTGACAGTATTACGGGCTAAAGACTGAATGACTCTAGAGCGAGTTGCACTGCATCTAGCCTGAATAAGAGGAGCAAGAGGGGGAGGCAGAGAGGACCAACCCGACATTGTTACCATAGCAACATTGAATTCCAAAGTCTGGATCAGCATAGAGCGAGGG